AGCCTCCCAAGTAGCTGGGACTACAGGCGCCCGCCACCTCGCCCGGCTAGTTTTCTGTATTTTTTTTTAGTAGAGACGAGGTTCACTGTGTTAGCCAGGATGTTCTGGATCTCCTGACCTTGTGATCCACCCATCTCAGCCTCCCAAAGTGCTGGGATTACAGGCTTGAGCCACCGCGCCCGGCCTAAGCAGACTTTTTTTTTTTAAAGCTCCAGATCCAGTTGTATGATAATTAGCTGCAGTTTTCTATCTGTTCCTCATTGTTTTTTGTTGTTGTTGTTTTTTTAGAGATAGGTCTTACTCTGTCACCCAGACTGGAGTGCTCTGATGCCATCTTGGCTCACTGCAGCCTCGACCTCCTGAGCTCAAGCAATCCTCTCTCCTCAACTTCTCAAGTAGATGGGACTACAGGCACGCATCACCATGCCTGGCTGATTTTTAAAATTTTTTGTAGAGACTGTCTTGCTATGTTGCCCAGGCTGGTCCCGAACTCCTGGGCTCGAGTGAGCCTCCTGCCTTGGCCTCCCGAAGTGTTGGATTAGAGGCGTGAGCCACTGTGCCTGGCCTGTCTCCCTGTCATTGTTAAGGTGATTCTTTGTTTGTAGAAATGAGTGGAGGAGAATATGAACTATAATGTAACTTAATCTTTTTTTTTCAAATGCTGTTGTTTCTTTACAGGAATTAAAAACTGCAATGAGAAGGAGACCTTTATTCTGTAATAACACAGTTTCTTCTGTGCCACTGTTAAACTGCTGCTCTTATTGTCGTGAACTGAGGCTTGACAACTCTGGTTTCTCTTCCTCCAGTGGCCAATACGACATGGAATCATTGAAGACTGGGATCTTATGGAAAGGTTCATGGAGCAAGTGGTTTTTAAATATCTTCGAGCTGAACCTGAGGACCATTATTTTTTAATGGTGAGTAACTGGAACTAAGAGGAATATATTCCTGTAAATTCCAAATTGCTTAGATTTTAAACTGAAGATATTCTTTTCTAGGACGTTTTAAATTTCTTCTAAAGATATGTGCATGAATCAGGCTGCTTTTTTGAAAATACTGGAAAGCTCAATAAAAATGTTCAGAACAAAAAGGGGCTTGTCAGCTCACCAAACAGGAAGCCCAAGTGAGGCAGCTCTGGGGCGTTGTTTTAGCAGCTCAGTGATGGAATTGCACATGCAGCCTAGGGCACAGCTTGAGCTCTTCTGTTTGTTCCCTTTGGGTCCCAGGGTGGCTGCCAAATTCCCAGATCACCTCTTTGGACATTTCCATACAGAGATAGAAGATTTTCCTTTCACTTTTTAAGAATTTAGAGACCCTTTCCCAGAAACCTTCCCAGCAGATTTGCCCCATCTGCCTATGCCTAACCTGGTTAGAACAGTAGGAATGGATTTACTGTGACTGGTTTAGATTCGTGAAGACTTTCTCCTTGGGGCGGGGATCAGGAGAACCTGTCTGATGTTCTGGACCCTGGAGGAGGGTAAGTAACTAAACAGGCCTCCAAAAGCAAGGACAATAGAAGGTGGAATGGATTTGGATAAACCAACTACCTACTTTAGTTTTCCTGAGACATAGCAAGATGATTGTAATTATTGCCACTTATAGCAGAGGAAACCAGGTCAAGATGTTATTTTTTTTCTAGGGTTCAAATGTTACTGTAAAATATAACTGAACTGAGTTATCGGCCCTAATTATGATACTTAATTGATTTCATTCAAACAAAATGAAACATCACAGATAAATGAGAAGAAATATCTCCTGGTTCTCTAGTGGTTCTACTCAGCATTACATGTTTTCTTCTGTGAGATGCTCTTTTCAAGTTAAAATTAATTGCATGTACAGAATGCTTGCTTTATAGAGGGCAGTTTCATGTGACATCAGCTGCATATTAAATCTACATAATTTAGGTTTGGATTTTTTTTCATGCAAGTACATTGTCAAATGGTCCCACATCCAGTTATAAAATTCTTTCTAACATTAGAATATGAAGTGTTTTTAAGAATTATCTGGTATAAGAAATATTTTAACTATAAGGCTAATAGTTAATGGAATAACTATTAAATATGGAATAACTCTATAACGAATATATATATTTAATGTATATTAAAGCCGGTCTTTGATCTTTTCTCCCTGGCTGTGTCTTCACAGCTGAAATTGCCAAGTATGGCTGCTGTGTTTCACAGGCCACTCTGTTTTCTCTGTACATCCACAGTAGTTTATTTTATTTTGCTGTTTTGCTTTGTATTTTATTTTTCTAGAAATGGGATCTTGCTCTGTTGTCCAGGCTGGAGTTCTATGGCACAATCCTATCCAGTCACTGCAGCCTCAGACCCTGGGCTCAGTTGATCCTCCCGCTTCAACCTGCTGAGTAGCTGGGACCACAGGTAGAAACCACTAGCCTGGCTAATTTTAAAAAATTTTTTGTAGAGACGGGGTCTCGCTATGTTGTCCAGGCTGGCCTCAAACTCCCAGGCTTAAGTGATTCTCCCACCTTAGCCTCACAAAGTGTTGGGATTACAGGCATGAGCCACCATGCCTGGCCCACAGTGGTTTATGTGGAATAAATGGAGCCAATAAACTGACTGTGTGTGAGTGGCTTTGTCTTTACAGCCAAAACAAATCACAGATTCCCACCTGTCAGATTTGGCATTTTTCCTTCTCTAGCATATCACATCAACTACCTGTTGGATAGGATTTTAGGAGCAGGCACGGAGCCCAGTTGCTTCCTTCTGTCTACTTCAGCTTCCCGTGCCAGGAGTTCTTGCTTTACTTAGAGGGACATCTAATCTTAGGCATGTGGAGCAAATACGGACCACCACACAGCTCACAAGAATTTTTATTAAAGGGGATTCTTTTTGTGATTTAGCTGGCATATATGAGATAGTAAAATATAACCACTTGCCAGGATGGAATTGGAGAGGTTTGGTGTGAACATAGAAAAGGCCATTTGCTAAAAATGGGTACCTGCAATGAATGTTCAAAAACAATCAAGTTTATTATTAAAAAGATAAGAAAATACTGTATTACATGTGTTGTACTTTGAATTCTGCAAGTCATTTTGTTGCATGTCGTGGTTGAGGAAGTGATGAGAATGGTAAATTTCCTTCAGGTATATGTCCTTAACCGTGTGTTGATGGAATAAAGGGGAGTGAACCAGGTGGAAAGATTTAAGGCCAAGCCATCAAAGTGAATTGAAGACATTAAGAGAATCTAAGAGGCCCAAATGATGGACCCCCAGGAGCTCACAGAATTATCCTTTCTAACAGCCTTGCCCAGTCATCTGAACATGCAGAGAGAATGACCTCCTTGCCACTGACTGTTTTCAAGGAGGTGCAGAGGCAGCTTACACTGGTTATGCGGACTGAGCACACGGCACCTGGGAACTCCACTCTTCCCCAATACTGCATTGCCCAAAGCTCAGAACGCACTCAGAGATGTCAAAGAGATGCAGTGCTCCTGAGTGGAAATTGGATTAGAACTTCAGAAGGGATTTTCAAACTTTTTGAATATAAATCCTGCAAGAGCAAACAAGCAGCACATGCAGACAACCAGCAGTGAGAGGGTGTGGTGACTCTGAGGACCTGACTGGGTTAGTGTGTTTAGTTAGAGCAGGGGAGTGTGGAGAGAGGAGGTCAGGCAGCCTTTGTGCGGTGTAGACAGTGAGCCGCAAGGCCAGTTTTGTGTTTTAGGGAGACTTTATGGGCAGGCACCTCCGGCACACACAGTCTAGAAGATGACCCCATGTGAGGTAACAGGTGCCTGTGAGGAGGGCGTACGGTGAGAATGGCAGGAGTGGGTGGAGGGGAGTTCTGTCATTTGCGAGGTTCTTAAAATTATGTAAGGGGATATGTATAGTCGAAACCACCCATGAAAATCCCTCAGGAAGGGCCCGTTTATACAGCTCTGAGTCAGTGGAGAGAAAATGGATTTTCCCTCAGCATAGAGGAACTTTATTCTGCACCAGCTGGGGTGGTTGACTTACATTTAGGAGTACAGTGTGGTGTGTGGAAGCACACATTGTTCATTAGGTTGCCCTCAGTCCAGCACTTTGCTCCCAGTCACAGTACGTTGAAGCTGAGACCACCTGAGAGCAGTTGGACTCCCAGAGCCAGTACTCATTAAGGAGCCCGGAGCAGACATCGTATTACTCATGTAGTTATTTCACCTGCTCTCATATTTGGCCTCATTGTTCTGGCTTGTACCCTCACTAGCTTTTGTATGCTGTTAAGTTATATATAGTTAGCAGAGATAAACAGGAGGTAGACTTGGTGAGTCTTAGTGATGAGAATTGGTAGCAGTTAAGAGAAATCTAGGCTGACTCAGATTTTGAGATGGGGCAGTGCATGGATGATAATGTGATTGGTTAAGATGGGAAACATGAGAAGAAACTCACTTGAGGGAGGGAGGAGGAAGGAGAGTTTGGTTTTGTACATGCTGAGGTCTAAGGGTCTAACTGGGCTGCACAGGTAAAGAAGCCGAGGAACAGCCAGCTCCAAGCTGCAGGTGTTGATGTAGGAGTCAGTAGCGTTCACGTGTTGATTGTTGATGGAAAATTAACTCTGATTACTAAAATAAAACATACCATCCTTGGTATTTTAGAGATGAATGTACGAATACATGATTATTTTGAGATCTCTAGGTAAAGTTAGTGCTCTGTGAAATCATTTTCTTCATGAACCTGGTGAAATTAAAAAATGCTAGCCATGGCAGTACCCTACATCTGAATCACAATTGCGTTATGTCCTGACTTACTCTAGTTTCCTTTCTGAATTCTTGAGAATGGTTAGACCTGCCTTGTGCACTTCACTAACCAGTGTAGACCTAGCCAGTGTAGACCTAGCCAGTGTAGAGGTCAGCTTTCTTGGATTTGCTAAGCCACCTCCTGCACGTACTTTCCAGCTTCCAGTATATGGTCGCCTCCTCTCCTATTCTCTCTTCCTTGAGGATTTGTATTTTAAAAAATGTTTCTTTACTGTAGTTTTAGAGGGGCATGAAGGTGGAGTAGTATTAGATACATGTGTTCAATTTTCTGTCTTTATCCAGAAATATGGGTTGGTTTTATGATAGTCATTGTTCATTTTTAAATCAATACCAGGTGATAATTTTACCAGCGTTATGTATAAAAATGTTTATGTAGCTTGCATTCATTGATGCTTTGATCATATGCTTCTATATTTAAAAAAACCAGATTATTCTCTTTCTCTTCTTCTCACTGTTGCACTTGACTAATCTTAAAGAGAGGAAAACCCCCAGAAAAACTGGACATCTCCTATTTAGATCTTGTTATAAATAATAGTTTGAGAAAATTTTAATTACATTTGTCTCCTAAAGGAATAATTACAACATCAATAATGGTGGATAGAGATGAAATGGGAGATTGAGGAAGATGGAGGGTTTGTGATTGTGGTCCTCAGAATCTATAAGGACATGGCCTGAATAATGTCGATTTTGACTCAAGAACCAGGAGAACGTCATTATATTGTAAATGTTCCCTTAAATGGAAGTACATAGATTTTAATTCTTTGAAGATGGTGAACTGTTTTTGGCAGCAAGTAATAGAAGTATAGAAGCAGTAGTTTAAAAAAGTTAAGGTTTTATTTTTCTTAAATAAATTTGTAGCAGAGTCCAGTGCTGATACGGCAGCTCTCTGGTGTTGCTAAGGGTCTCTCTACTCTAGTGTCTCGAATATGTGGCTTTCATTTTCAGGATGCCTCATGATCACAAGTTGATTACTGCAGCTCCAACTGTCGCCTCTGTGTTGCACGAAGGAAGAGGGTGTTAAGGGCAGGAGGCAAGTCTACTCAGCTTTGTAAGGAGCTTTCTTGGCAACCATACTCCAGCTTTTGTGTCTTACTGGCCAGAACTTACTCACTTAGTCATCCCTGTCCACAAGGACGTCTGGGAAATGCTTTTGTCTGGGCCTGTTGCCGTTTCCCATCATAGATCAGTGGTCTGTCCGTCACAAACTTGCAGTGTCGGTAAGTGTCACTCACAATGCCTGCCGTAGTGGTGTCACTCACAGGCATGAAGACAGTAGCAAAGGAAAGATTCAGCTGCTTTCACAAATCTGACTGGATTTTACCTATCTGGAGGGTGTCACCCATGTTAGGGAACCGCTGGCCAGGAGGAAGCTGTGACAAGATGTGCTGCGTCTCCTGCTTGGCGTTGCCATCTTGCTGCCGTAAGTTTCTCTGTCTGTAGATAAAGTACATTAGGAAATTAGGAAGTTATATTAGGAGTTTGTGTGATCTTGCCCCATGGCCCTAACTCAGAGTTTAACACTTGATGTAGAGATGATTTCCCCTCCATTACAGTAGAATTGTAAGTATGATAGAGAAAATTTGGAAGTTATCTATGGGACTTTTTATAGTCTTATCACATTAACATAGGTACTGTTGACATTTAGTATATTTTCATTTCATCTTTTTACCCATTTAAAAATGATTTTACACTCAATATTTTACTCATTTTCTTAGTTTTCATAACCCTTATTTTAATAGCTATATGATTAGCTGTCTAGTAGGTATTTCCTGTGCAGCAGCTCCACTATTTTTAGTCATTTTCTCGGTTTTATAAGAAATAATGTAATCTTTGTGCATACAGTTTTTCCTATATTTTGAGTATTTTTTGTTTAAAAAGAACTAGCAGTGTTTGATTATGGAGTTCAGCAGTGTTAATAATTTTATCAGTCTCTGCAGTGTGCTATTTCGGACTGCCATCAGCACTGTACAAGAGGCTTGCTTTGTTTGTACTCTTGTCAGCATTAATATTTTTGATTATTTAATGGATTAAAATTTACCATATGCTTTAAATTTGCATTTTTGATCACTTTGACCTTACAAATTTTTCCACATATTAGTTGTATTTCCTCTTTTGTGAGCTATCCATTCATGCCCTGTGCTCTTTTATGTATCATTTTTATTGCTTTTCTTGTTGCTGTGATTTCTATGAACTTTGTTTTTACTTAACATGTTTTTATTCTAAAATACACATAACAGAATTTACCATTTGAACCATTTTTGAATGTACAGCTTGGTGGCATTAGGCACATTCACAAAGCATTGCCACCGTCTGTCTCCAGAAGGCTTTTCAGCTTCCCAAACTAAAACTCTCTCCCCATTGAACACAAATTCTCTTTACTCCTTTACCTGCCCCTGGAGTGCCCATTTTGCTTTCTGTCTCTATACACTTGATGACTCTAGGGCCCTCATATACATGGAATCAGATAGTATTTATCCTTGTATGATCAGCTTACTTCACTTAGCTAGCATCTTCAAGCTTCATCCATGTTGAAGCATGCACCAGGATTTCCTTTCTTTTTAAGGCTGAATAATATTCCATTGTACATAGATACCACATTCTGCTTATTCTCTGGAAGCTCTCATGTAATTAGGATAGCAAGCTGCTTTTGTTGTTATATTTGCAGCAGGTTAGTTTTACTCAGTTAATTTTTTGCCTTTCTCTTTTGGTTATTTCATTTGGACATCTATAACTTTAAATTTGTATGTGGTAAAACCCATTTTCCTTTGATGTTTGTATTTAATCTTCATCCATCTGGGATTTATTTGGATCATCATTTCACACTGAACTTAGACCCAGAGAGAATGCAGGGAGCTAGGGGTAATCCGATTCTTGTTGGTGATATCTTCTTACAGGTCTGTTTTTGCTTCAGGTTTAATAGGCAGCTCTATGCTGGGAGGCAAGAAACCTTCTCGTCTGTTCTCAGACATCTTCATACCTTCTTACCATTTCTCTGCTGATACTTCTCCCCTCTACTCAGTTTAAGTGTTTGTTTATTTCACTTATAATTATGCTTGGGTTCCTATTCAAGATGAGAAACAACTTTATAGGTTTCTTTAGTTAATATGTTATTTCTTTTGGAATGAGATACAATATTGACTATTATGGCTGTTTATTGAGTGCTTCTATGTGCCCAGCCCCATTCTAAATGTTCACAAGTATTAACTCATTTTCTAATGCCACCAACAACCCTCTGCGATAGGTAATGTTATTAGGCCCATTTTTCAGATTGATAGGAGGTGCCTTAAGAGAGAGATTGTACACACTACTGTTGGAATCTGCAGCTCTTACTCATGTGCTTTAAATGAAGGAAATTTAAAGTATTAATCACTAACATTTATGCTATTAACTGTGTTCTGGGCACTTCACTGCTATTAGCAAATTTAATCTCCTCAGCCCCGAGTAGGCACATTGAAATAAATAACATGTCGCGGAGTGTTTTTTAGGTTCCCTATTTGCAGCCTGTGTTTGAGTATGACTTCATTATTCTCTCTTCCACATTTTGAGATGGCTTCCTCTCTCCCATCCAGGAATTGATGGATTCTAATTACAGTGACTAAAACTTACTTGAGGCAGCGTGTTTGAACTTTGCACCAGCTGTTGTGCCAGAGTTTAAAGTGCCAGGCTAGTTGGTAGGTAGATTTACTTGCTTGTTGTTTGAAGAGGTGATACACACACAGTGCAGAATTGAAAAGGCGCTGGAAGATTTCTAGGGAGCGTGTCCCCCTCGCCTCTTTCCTGCCTAGAGGAAGCTGCCCTTACCAATTCTTAGCCAGCTGATTGTTCATATTTCAGGGGTGATTGTGTGTAGGCATATGGGTTAGCACACACTTTTTTTTTTTTTTTTTGAGATGGAGTTTCACTCTGTAGCCCAGGCTGGAGTGCAGTGGCACGATCTCAGCTCATCGCAACCTTCGCCTCCCGAGTTCAAGCAGTTCCCCTGCCTCAAGCCTCCTGAGTAGCTAGGACTGCAGGTACATGCCATCACGCCTGGCTAATTTTTGTGTTTTTAGTAGAGACAGAGTTTCACTATGTTGGTCAGGCTGGTCTGAACTCCTGACCTCGTGATCCACCCGCCTCAGCCTCCTGAAGTGTTGGGATTACAGGTGTGAGCCACTGCACCTGGCTAGTACACAGTTTTATTTTACACAAATGGTAACACAGTATGCATACTGTTGTACACCTTGGATTTTGAATTAAACTTTTTTTTTTTGGTTTAAATTGTAAAAAAGACTAATACTATTTGTACCCTCTTAGCCATTTTTAAGTGTACAATTCTGTAATGTTAACTATATTCACACTGTTGCACAAGAGATTCTAGAACTCTTCTGTCTTGCAAAACTGAAACTCTGTGCTCATTGAACAAGTCCCCATATTTCTCCTCTTCCCCCACCTTGTTTTTTGTTTTTGAGATGGAATTAACTCTCGTTGCCCAGGCTGGAGTACAGTGGCACCATCTCAGCTCACTGCAACCTCTGCCTCCTGGGTTTAAGCAATTCTCCTGCCTCTGCCACCCGAGTGGCTGGGATTACAGGCACGCACCACCACGCCCAGCTAATTTCTGTATTTTTAGCAGAGTTGGGGTTTCCCCATGTTGGCCGGACTGGCCTTGAACTCCTGATCTCAGGTGATCCACCTGCCTCTGCCTCTCAAAGTGCTGGTATTACAGGTGTGAGCCACAGTGCTCAGCCTGTTTCATTTTTTTTTTTTTCTGGGAGGAAGTCTCTTTGTTGTCCAAGCTAGAGTGCAGTGGCTATTCACAGGTGCAGTCATACAGCCACTACAGCCTCCAACTCCTGGGCTGGAGTGATCCTCCCACCTCAGTCTCCTGAGTAGCTGGGACTACAGGCACACACCTGGCAACCACACCTTGTTTTTTAAAAATAGTTTTTGGCCTGGCATGGTGGCTTATGCCTGTAATCCTACCAGTTTGGGAGGCTGAAGTGGGTGGATCACTTGAAGTCAGGAGTTTGAGACCAGCCTGGCCAACATGATGAAACCCTGTCTCTCCTAAAAATACAAAATTTAACTGAGTATGGCGGCGTGTGCCTGTAATCCCAGCTACTCCGGAGGCAGAGGCAGGAGAACTGCTTGAATTCTAGGAGGTGGAGTCTCCCAGAGATCCGAGACTGGGCTACTGCACTGGAGCCTGGGTGACGGAGTGAGACTCTGGCTCAAAAAAAAGTTTTCATTACAAATTGTTGAAGCAGAAGGATATTTAAGAATGTGTATGGAATGAAGACACCTTTCTCTTTTTAATTTAGCATTCATCATAGAGATTGTTTCTTCATAGAGTTCATTTTTTAAAATTGTTCCAAAGTGTTTAGTGGTGGGTATTTAGGTTGTTTCTGATCTTCTGATACAGACAGTGTTGACTTTTTACCTTTCAAAGCTACTTTGTTTTAGTTGGGTCTCTTAACCTCAGAATGTAATTTGATTTTGGTTTTATTTTTAACTGAGAGATTTTTAGTAGTTGCATTTCCCATTTATATTTGCTGATAATTTTAGTAATAGCAACTCACTGCCATTGAACACATCTGTGTGTCCAGTACTACTCGAAGCACATTATTTAGACTGCCTTTAATCTTTGCAGCTCTCTGAGCGGGGTACTAATTACCTCCACTTTACCCATGAGGAGACTCAGGGAGAGAGAGGAAATAGTTTACCAAGCCTAGTAAAGTGGAAGTCTGGGATTTGATCCCAGTCAGTTTGACCTCAGATCTCTTAATCAGACTGGTGTGGCATGCTACTGTGTGACAGATATGTTTGGTCTTAATTTAACTATTTTTAAAAAATGTTATGCTTCATGTTTTTAATGTGTTTTATTTATGTATTAGTATTTTTTAACTGAAGACTTATTTTTCTCTTTGCTTTGTATTGGGTGTGTGTTCTTAGTAATAATTAAAAAGACTCATTTTTGCATATTTTAGTATAATTTGATATATTTACCCTGTATTTGTTTAGGGGTAACTACCTCCTTCCTGCTGTAATCAGTGACCAGGTTGGTATTGCCACATGTTCTTGCCTCCGCTTCCTTCTCTCCACCACCTGCTTCTGATGAATGATGTTACTAAGCTTATTCCAATGTTAACACTTATAACTTTATGTTTACTAATGCCTGTGATTCTTTATCAGCTTTCAATATCTTTTGATCTCACTGTAAGAGGCAAATGTCTTTACACTCTCTCCTTCTTTCTTTGTACACTGCTCAACTTGATACCATTTTTTCTGTTAAAATTTATAACATTTACATTCTGTTCTTAATTCCCAGAAAATAAAAGTCTTTTTTTTGAGACAGAGTCTCACTCCATTGCCTAGGCGGGAATTCAGTGGTGCAGTCTCAGCTCACTGTAACCTCTGCTTCCCAGGTTCAAGCAATTCTCCTACCTCGGCCTCCCAAGTAACTGGGACTACAGGTGTGCACCACCATGCCCGGCTAATTTTTGTATTTTTGGTAGAGATGGGGTTTCACCATGTTGGCCAGGCTGGTCTCAAACTCTTGACTTCAGGTGGTCCGCTTGCCTCGGCCTCCCAGAGTGCTGGGATTACAGGCATGAGCCACCGTGCCTGGCCAAAGAAAAGTCTTTATTCCTACATCTTAAATGGCTTCATTGCTCACTGTAAGTCTTTGCTGGACTTTCTGCATTCTTGTTGGTTGTTTAAAGTTTATCCTCTAATAGTTCATGAACCCGTACAGTTTGGCTCATGGGAATGAAATTTTCCAAGTTCTTACTTGTTTAACGATATATATTTTTTCTCCTTAGTATTTTATTTTATTATTTTATTTTTTTAATTGACACATAATAATTGTGCATATTTATGGGGTACAGAGTGAAGTTTTGATACATATAATGTGTGGTTATCAGATCAGGGTAATTAGCATATCCGTCGTCTCAAATATTGGATATTTTGATTTTGTAACATACTTGACTGACACTGTGGCCAGATGTAGAATTCTTGGGTTGTACCTTCTTCCCTTGAAGACTCTAAGTGTGGCCGCATGTGTCCTAGTGTTAAATGTAGCAGTGTTGAAGGCTGAGGCTGACTGTACTTTCCCTTTCGTAGGGGTGTATTAGTCTACTCGGCTGCTGTAATTTTGTTTATACCACAGGTTGGGTGGCTTAAACAGCAGACAGTTCGTGATTTTCTCACAGTTCTGGAGGTTAGAAGTCCAAGATCGAGGTCCGTCGGGGTTGGCTCCCGGTGCAGCCCTCTTCCTGGCTTATATGTGGTCCCCTTGCCTGCTGTGTCCCCACAGGCCTTTCCCCTGTGTGAGTGTAGAGTGGGGAGAGAATAGGAGAGAGAGATTGATTTCTGGTGTCTCTTCCTCTTCTTAGAAGACCTTCCTCCAGTCCTATCAAATTAGGGCCCCACCCCTATGACCTCAGGTAACCATGATGACCTCTTGAAAGGCCCTGTTACCAACTATGGTACAGTGGGAGTTAGGGCTTTAATCTATGAATTGGAGGTGTGGGAAGCACAGTTCATTCGTAATAAAGGGTAATGTATACGTTTTGCCCAAAGGTCCAGGGACTTTTTATTTTTTCAGTTTTAAATATGAGATGTAGACCCATATTTGTTGACAAGGAAAAATGTTCATAGTATATTGTTGAATGACAAAAATCAGGTTTTTTAATTCTTTTTCTGTTTCTGTTATCTGTCATTTCCTCCTGTTTGATGATGGTTATTTTAAAATAGATACTTAGATTCTTGGAAATGTCTTTGGAAATTCTTGGGAATTTTTATCTGCTTTGTTTTAATATTTTTCCAGATACGTTTTTTTTTTCTTTCTTTTTGGAGACAGGATCTTGCTCTGTCACCCAGGTTGGAGTGCAGTGGCACAATCTTGGTTCACTGTAGCCTTCACCTCTGAGGCTCAAGTGGTCCTACCTCAGCCCCCCGAATAGCTGGGATCACAGGCATGTGCCACCACACTTGGCTGACTTTTAAATTTTTTCGTAGAGGTGGGGTCTCGACCAGTTTGCCCAGGCTGGTCTTAAACTCCCGGACTCAAATGATTCTCCCTCCTCAGCCTCCTAAAGTGCTAGGATTATAGATGTGAGCTACCCACCTGCCCCTAGATAGGCGTTTTTTTGTCTGCCATTTGTTTTTCCTATTTTCTCTGTCCGTTTTCTTTTTCTTTGAGTGTTTTTATATCACTGTTGGCTGGCTTCTTTGTGCCCCTTACTCGTCTCTGAATGAGCAGAGTTCTTCTGAACTAATGGCGTGTGGGTAGGCTGGGGAGGTACTGGGCAGCGTCTGGGGGAAGCTGTGCTCTGCCCTGGGCTCTTCTCTTGTCACTGGACTGTAAGGGTGCTTGGCCTAACCTTGCCTGCTCTGCCACCCTCTGGCTTCTCACACTGGGCCTGTCCTGAGCAAGGGCTTGCTGCTCCTCTGGCTCTCCTTTGCTGAGACCTGAAGTCATTGGTTTGCCTTTGGTGTCCTCACTCGTCTTGGTTGTGTTTTCACAGCCCTTGGCAACTTGCTTCTGGGATATTCAGTTTCATGGTGTTTAGGTATTATATTATTGAAGACAGAGTTTCTTTTTCTGTAACTCGTTCTTATTTTGGATGGGTAATAAGAACAGAAGCCTTCAGAGAGGTCTTTACTCTGCTATCTTAAAGCTTTTAAGGCCCACAGCCAGATTTCTTTAATACACTTTGGGCATCCTCTATCTCTAAAATCAGGGAGTTGTATAATGTCCTTGCTAACATACTTTCTGGTTAACCTGTTTATGGTTCTGATGTATTTACATGAAATTTGGGCAAATACTAAAGATAGTGAATGTTTTCTTACAGACAGAGCCTCCACTCAATACACCGGAAAACAGAGAGTATCTTGCAGAAATTATGTTCGAATCGTTTAACGTACCAGGACTCTACATTGCAGTTCAGGTAAAAGCAGTTGTTTTTGTGATTCCTGAAGCACGTGAGCTGTCTAATAGTGGAAGCAATGGCATTTCCCAAGGTTCTCTGCTGGAAGACTGCACTGTGCACCCTTCCTTTTTCCACTCCCTGCCCCGCCCCCATGCCTGTACCTTCCAGTTTAGAATTCCTGGGTGTGAGGCCTAGTAGTCTGTATTTTAAACAACTCCACAAGTGACCTCATTGCCAATCTGTGGCCCCACACTGGAAACCAGTGAATTAGAAATTAAAATCTTATGATTCTATAATGAAATATCTTTTTCACTGGCTTTTCTTTGCAAAACTTCAGGTTTCTTTTCTTTTCTTTTTTCTTTCATTTTTGAGACAAGGTCTCACTGTGTTGTCCAGGCTGGAGTGCAGTGGTGCAATTATGGCTCACTCTAGCTGCAACTTTCTGGGCTGAAGGGATCTTCACACCTCAGCCTCCCAAGTAGCTGGGAGTACAGGTGCGTGCCACCACGCCTGGCTAATTTTTGTGTTACTTGTAGAGATGGGGTTTCACCATGTTGCCCAGGCTGGTCTTGAACTCTTGGGCTCAAGTGATCTGCCTACCTTGGCCTCCCAAAGTGTTGGGATTACAGGCATGAACCACCACATTCAGCCAGGTTTCTTTATCGAAAACTTGACTCCTATAGTTTTAAGTCTCAACATTTTCGTGTTAGTTGTCCAAGTCTGAATTGGAATTTGAGGGACAGGGGTCAGGATGGATAGGAAAAGGAAAGAGTTACTCAGACATATTTAGTAAGAGAGTTTGTTGATTGGACCTGGAAGGAGCCCACAGATGCTTTAGAAAGAGTTCCCATGTGCGAGTGGTTTCCATGTCTTTTCTCCAGGCAGTGCTGGCCTTGGCGGCATCTTGGACATCTCGACAAGTGGGCGAACGTACGTTAACGGGGATAGTCATTGACAGCGGAGATGGAGTCACCCATGTTATCCCAGTGGTAAGCAGAATAGTTAATGTATATATGTCTCTGTAGGCTTAACACCTGATTCGAGGTAAGGATGGAAATAAAAAAAAAACAGCCTTCTGCAATGAAAATACATTTCAGATGATAGTTATACTTAGAAAAGGTAATAAAAGTTTTTTATTTTTTTGCCACCTTATATAAGGGAATTGACTGAATTCCCCAAGTATGTGGGAAAGAATGAAAAAGATGGCCAATTATTATGGCTTTGGCAATTTTAAATTCATGGTGGCATATTTCTACAGTCAGAATGTCAGAGAATGTCCAGGATGTCTCTGGATCTACAGAGCCTCTGTTACACCATGGGTGTAACATCAAAAGAATATTTTCCGGAGTTATCATTCTGACGTGTTGGGAGATAGACATCATTTTGGATGTTCAAGTTGTAGGTGCAGTGCATGGCCATTTGAAGGAGCACATCTGTGTTCTGTGAAAAGATGTGAATTGCCACCAGCTCAGGCTTGGAAAAATTGCTTCTTGTTTTAAAAATTTATTTAAGGGCCGGGCGCGGTGGCTCATGCCTATAATCCCAGCACTTTGGGAGGCCCAGGCAGGCAGATCACCTGAGGTCGAGAGTTCGAGACCTGCCTGACCAACATGGAGAAACCCTCTCTCTACTAAAAATACAAAATTAGCCGAATGTGGTGGCGCATGCCTGTAAACCCAGCTACCTGGAAGGCTGAGGCAGGAGAATTGCTTGAACCTGGGAGGCGGAGGTTGCAGTGAGCCGAGATCGAGCCATTGCACTCCAGCCTGGGCAACAAGAGTGAAACTCCGTCTCAAAAAAAAAAAAGGTTATTTAAAAGCCAAGAATGGGAGATTGTACATTTGGCTTGCAGAAGGCTCTGCAATACCACTTTTTGGTTTTAGATAAGTGATTCCTAATTTGGGTCTCAAGAGATCTCTGAATTTTTCTTTTGGTCCAATGGACTGTTTAAAGGAATTATCTTAAATTCATGTTTTTGGAAAATGTATCGGAAGTGTCTGAAGAAGGTATTCAGAGGGAAGTCAGACTCATCCTGGTCTTTCTCCTGTGAGGTCTCCTCCTCAGGAACCACCATTGCTAGTTACTTCTGTTATGTTACAGATGTGTTTCTGCATATGTATATGGTATATGTATACATACATATGTATGTGTATGTAAAAATATATTTTTACATACACAGCTCTTTTAAAATGCAAATTAGGATTTTCAAAAACCATTTAATTGAAAAAATAGTCACCATTTCATTTTGAGAAGTGATGGGATGATGTACTAATACTAATGCCTTTAATTCCTTGAAGGTTAGGAATCACTGCAGTGGAAAGGCTTCATGGTCCATGTGCCTACAGCCAGGGAGAAAAAGGCCAACCTCCTGCACCCGTGTCTTGTACTCCTGGCCATGGTCCTTCCCGTGGGGAGGAGAGGTGGCTGCCCTGCCTTGTGAAGTGTGCTCTAGACTTGAGCCTCCTTCAAGCCAGTCTCAGCACTCCTGTCCGTGGATCTCGAGAAGAGTTAGTGCCCTAGGTGCAGAGCACTCACTGAGAACTCAGGCTGCTGTTTACTCAGAGAGCTGCGCTGCTGAGATCCAAGATGAGGCCCCTAGGCCCCTGGCCTGCACCGCCTTTGGTTCTCTGCCTATTTCTTATGTCTGATTTAGGAAAAGGAAAGAAAATACATTTCACAGCATGTCCAGGCCCACCAAGAAAGTTGTTTGAAAAGATTTTTTATCGTATCTTAGTTCGGTTTTTCCTCCAGTTATAAAAATTACATTTGTCATTGAAAGTTTGGATAAAATAGAAAAATTTGAAGAAATAAAATTACCTGTAAAGCCACCCAAAGACCTGTATTATACCTTTATTTGTATAGTCTTTAAGCTCTTTTTCTTTTTTTTTTTGGATATGGAGTTTCACTCTTGTTGCCCAGGCTGGAGTGCAATGGCACGATCCGGCACACTGCAACCTCTGCCTCCCAGGTTCTCCTGCCTCAGCCTCCTGAGTAGCTGGGATTACAGGCATGCGCCACCATGCCTGGCTAATTTTGTATTTTTAGTAGAGACGGGGTTTCTCCATGTTGGTCAGGCTGGTCTCAAACTCCCGACCTCAGGTGATCTGCCCATCTTGGCCTCCCAAAGTGCTGGGATTACAGGCGTGAGCCACCGTGCCCAGCCTGAGCTCTTTTTCTAAGACACATGTCACACGCACACACTTTAAACACAATTGGAATGTCTCATGTCTGGTCTGGGATTCTATATATAATACAATCCTAAAGTTATATTTTGCATATTGATTTAACCCTAATTTTTTTCTCTTGTGGTTAAATATTCTGTGAAAATACATTTAAGAAGTACATAATTAATTTTTCTGTTGTTGGACATGTATCTTGTTTTAATATTTTTACCACTGTCATGAGCTGATTATTTATTTAACAGTATTTTAGAAAATATTACGTGTAATGCATAGAATGTGGTAATTTTGAATAATTTATGTGTTAGAAAGCTAATATTATTTTTATGGATTTAAGTTGATTTTTAATAATTTGTACATATCTTTTATCTCCATCTTAAAATACTTTACAAATACTTGGACTCTACAGAAAGGCTAAATCTTTTTTTGCTTCTAGAAGTTAGGTACATCAGAAAAAAACCATAGGAGGAATTCAGTAAGTTGTCCTTGCAACTTTACTGGTGACTAGATGCAACTATTAGAATGAATACGTGTGTAAAATGAAGTCAGCGTTTCACTTCTGTTCCCTTCTGTCTCGGGGAGTGTGGCACAGAAGCTGTGATTGCTGTAACGTGAAACCTGAGGGTCTTTACCGGATGATCCAGCGGTAGGCGTTGTCCACTCTGACGGTCAGCATCCTGCTCACCCCTGTGGAACAAGCTGGATGTGTGTCCAAGCCTGTGGCTCCTGTGGCAGGTCTGTGCCCACAGGAAGGCTGATGAGGGAGCTTTGGACCCATCATTGCTGTGGGCATGTGGATACTTGACACCGGTCCTGCCATTGATCGGCCCAGGTGGTGGTCACCCTTCTTTCCTGGTCCCTCACAGACATACCTTCACTGGCTCAGGGAGGCAGTGGAATGAGAAGCTCCCCACCCCCAAAAGCAGTGCTATGTGCTCGACACACAGTTTCATCTGAACTGTATTATTGGCGCCTGCAGGGTATTGTTTGCCCCATATGATGGACAAATGCGCTGAGGCTGAAGCATGTGAAACTTGCAAATGTGGAGCCGGAATTGGAGTCTAGGTTGTTAGAATCTGAGCCCTGTGTATTAACCAAATTGCTGACTTTTAAACATAAGTAGATTTATAGTTGGCTTAACAATTTATAAATAAAACTTTTTCCTTTTAGGGGAAAAACCTATTGGGTTTAGTGTTCTCACAGACAGCATTACTTTTTGGAAATGAACTATCCTGTGTGTTTTTTCTTTTCATATTCCTAATGAAGACATCATTTTGATTGCTTTCGGAGAGCGTCAGATTATTGGAATAATCTGGAAGTTTGGATATAAATGGAATTGCATATGCAGTCATTTTGAAAGACCTTCTGTACTGAGCTTGCAGAGGGTGGGGATTCTGTAAATGCTTATTAATGCTGTGAGGGGCAGACAGGGAGGCTGAGACAGGAAACCTTGTGAGTCTAGGCTGCTTTCCACTACAGAATCACTAACACAGCTGTTTTGCCTCCTCTTCTTCCCTAGGCAGAAGGTTATGTTATTGGAAGCTGCATCAAACACATCCCGATTGCAGGTAGAGATATTACGTATTTCATTCAACAGCTGCTAAGGGAGAGGGAGGTGGGAATCCCTCCTGAGCAGTCACTGGAGACAGCAAAAGCCATTAAGGTAAAAACAGATGGGAAACCGGCTGGTTTGGGGGTGAGAGAGATGGTGTTCTGGACACTTCCCCTCGGTGCCATCATCCCTGCTCCTCCTTTCCTTCCTCTCCCCTTCCCATGAGTGTGGGGCTTGATTTGTTTTACCCCTTGAGTTAAGTGGGCTGAAGATGTAAAGCTTAACCTCTTCCAAACTAGATGCTCTGAGGTTCCAGCTGTCACTGAGAACAGCCTGGTAGCTGGTGCAGCGTACCTGCATGCAGAGGTGCATTGTTCAGCTGGAACCTCGCTGCCAGAGCCTCAACTACCAGAGCGCTCCTTCCATACTGCCTCCATGCTTCGCTGTAGAATCAGGAGGCGACCGCAGCAGCAGAACACTGCCACCCTAGAATCCAGAGCTATTGCACAAAATTCACACACAGGTGTGGGTGTGACGTGTGGCCATAAGCATCTCCTTCCTTTACTGCACAGTTTCTGAGTGTAGTGGAGCTTGAGGAGGGCGAGCCTGACACCCACGCTTCTCCTCATTGCCTTCCTGCCTTCTCAGCACCTCGTAACTGAGGCTGCTTGAAGGAAAGAAAGCATCAGAGATGATTCCCGAGGTGTTTTTAGGACAGGAAGCACTGGCATGGGGCAGGCTCTGCAGTTGGGTATGACCTGCCCTGCTTTACCTGGAACCAGAGATTCCTGGGAAGGGGGCTCTCAGTGCTGAAATGGTGACATGGGGAAGACATGGTCCCTTCCATCCCAGGGGAAGGTTTCCTGAGGTATCATTAGACATTCTTTTTTAGATTAAAATTTTTCCTAAGGGGTTGCCGTCGCCTTTCTTTGCCTTTCCTCAATGGAAGAATATTTGACTATTTGATCCAAGCTCCCTTGCCACTCCAAATCTGTTAGAAATGTAAGTCAGAATGGAGCCCCTTCATAGTGGCTCACCCATATAATCCTAGGACTTTGGGAGGCCGAGGCGGGAGCATTGCTTGAGGCCAGGGGTTCGAGACCAGCCCAGGCAATATAGTGAGATCTTGCCTCTATTTCAAAAAAAAAAAAAAAAAAAAAGAATTGAGCCTCTTGTTATTGATGCCCAGGGTCCACTCCAGTGGGTCTGAGTCCTTCCTGTTTCCACCAGGATTGCTGAGCGGCACTGCTAAGGAGGGGCTTTCCTGACCCTCATGCTGGGCCTTAAACTCTCCTCAGGGCTGTTGGAGTTCCAGTTTGGACCCTGAAATCTGGGCTGGTGTGCTCGATGTGACTGTGTGTCACCCTCCTGTGAAGGCTGGGGGTAAAAGAGACTCCGTTCATAGCCTCCAGATCAGCTGCCCTGGCCCTGCTGTGTGGGGTAGCCCTGTTAGTTCTTGCCTCACTTCTCTCTTCAAAGGAACAGATCCTGAAAGGCGTGGTTTAGAGCTCCCCCTGCTTCCCTTTATGCCATGGCCTTCTGTGGTCGTGAGCAGGCCTGAGGGAGTGTGTACCATGAACACAGCACCCTTGCATCATGAATCCTGAACCTTAAGATTAAGCCTGTTACTCTGCACCCAACTCCATGGAAGCATTTCATAGGAAGCGTTTGAGTTAAGTGAGCTGAGATGCTGTGGGATGTTGACCAGGCCTGTGAGGAGAACTGAATGCCTTTGTCTCCAGTCTTGGTCAATTTGAGGTTGTAATCAGCTGACCCTGTTTCTCTGTGTCATCAAGGAACACAGGGTTGTGTAACACTTCTTGCCTGTCAGTCTTCTTAAAATTCTGCTAGAGTATATCCAAGATACCCAGAAGATGGCATTAGAATATGTTTCAGGGATGCTAAGAAACTTTAAATTTAATACCACAAGAACATCTTTGGAGGTCCTTGAGAGAACCATTCCTTCCACGGTGTGCTGAGTGCCACCTGGGCAGCCCACCTGCTGCTTCCCATAGGCAGCGAGTACCTGGGGGTCACCTGCTGCTTTGCTGAGGCCAGCCCTAAGGACACGTATCAACAGAAACGTGTCCAAGAATATTAATCTCACCAGATACTCAGGAAACACTTCGCATCCCTCAGGCTGCCTGTCGGTGCAGGGCGGGGATCGTTAGCGGGTTCTTTCACGGCAGCAGCATCCTGGCAGCTCCAGTCCTCCCACCTGACTCTGCTTTTCCTTTATTCCCTGGGACCTATCACTTTATAACTTACCATGTCATTTACTTGTTATGGTTGCTTATTGTTGTCTTGACTCCCAGCTGGAGTGTAATCTCAGCAGGGATCTGTGTGTGTTTCGCTCACTTGTGTCTCCCAAGTGCCTAGACAGTAAATCTGTGTTGATTGAGGGACTTAGAATACCCAGTCAACAAGGTACACTATGTCTAGGCAAAGAGATGGTGTCAGTGGAGCCGATGACAGTGCTGTGGCCAGCTCCACACCACATTAACAACCAGCAGGTTGACAGTGGCCACCCGGCTTGTGGATGCTGGGACCGAAAGAAGCCTCTGCAGTCAGGTGTTAGGGTGTGGACAGTGCTGCTCTCGGTAGGTGAGGCTGCAGCACGGGTCCGCTGGTCCAGTGAGGTGCCAGGGCAGGCCATAGGGGGCACCTGAGAGGAACAAGGCAAGACGTGCTTTCTAGACACCTATAGACATCATTTCAGATATGATAGCGATAGAATTGGATAGACCAAGGCTGAGATTAGTAGCTGAGTTGCAGAGAAAGCAGACTTACCTGTCCAGAGTCCAAGTGTAACCATGTCTAATATGAAAGACGATGGAATGTGAGACCTGACACGTATCCACACTGGAGTGACGGTGGGGGTGGTTCTGATCCCAGGGCGTGTTTACTGCATGGGGTTCCTGGTTATTTGTCTGAGGGCAGAGACACTGGGCAGTTGTTAATGCCTGGCAACATCTTTGTGTGTGTATGCAGGAGAAATACTGTTACATTTGCCCTGATATAGTCAAGGAATTTGCCAAGTATGATGTGGATCCCCGGAAGTGGATCAAACAGTACACGGGTATCAATGCAATCAACCAGAAGAAGTTTGTTATAGACGTTGGTTATGAAAGGTTCCTGGGACCTGAAATATTCTTTCACCCCGAGGTAAGATGTTTCCTTTTGTGTGCTTAAGTGTGTGGGATGGAGCGGTACTGCCACCCAGAGTGCGGAAAGAGCATTTCCCAGCAAAGGGCCTGTGAGCAGGGCGGCCGTCGTTCTGTCTCCCCGCACCCCCCGTGCCGTTTGTCTGCTTGACAGATTGTTCAGTTTGCCTCTCCTCTTGGCTGTCTGTGTTAACAATTAAAGATGGGTTATACCACAAATAGTTAGGAAGACTTATAGGAGCAATAGACGAGAATAGAATTAAAAGTAATCTTCAAGGGTTGTGGGTGGTCACATGCTAGTATTACAAGTAGCTTTAATCTCAAGGACTATGTGGAGGTTGCCTGTGCCTCAGAGTGGGATAACATATAACCTTTCCATCTTTGGTGATTGCCCTTCCTAACTTCTAATTTTAACCCTGGACAGTTGATCCTGCTGTGTTCCCTGCTGCAAGTTAGGTTAATCTTCTGTCTAAGGCCAGCATTTCTGTTATTTAGGTAATCTTAAGAATTAGAGATGTCATCATTTTAACTAGTAGTTGTAAGGAATTATTAGTACTTTTGCAGAAAGCACTAATTAAGAGGCACATTTTAAGATTTACATATAATGCATTTTATTTATATTTTGATGTATATTCCTGGCTAATTCAGTTTGTATTCAATAGGTGGGTTACAAGCTGCTGTTTGGTTTTAGATGTGTATATGGCTGTTTTGTGCAGAGAAACAGCATGGAAAGTATACCTCACTAGTAATCTGAAGAATAAAACGATGGCAATGATAATCCAGCAAATGCCCACTTTTAATCTATGGATTTGAAGTGGACATAGAATGGTCAAATGTCCAGTGAACAGCTTGTGAGCCCCTGAGTGGCCTCCTCCTTCCTCTGAGAGTGCACATTCAAGCTTTCTTTGATTTTTAACATATTTCAAATGAAATGTAATTGAGTTGACGCTTATTTAACTCATGGAATTGAATCTAAGGCTGTTTATTCAATAACGTGATTATCATGTGGATTGTTTCATTTTAAACAAACACTTCTTGTTAAACAAAACACTTCCCTCCATCTTCTAGACCAGGTTTAATTAATCTTTCATTGAACCTGTTTCTTTTTCCTTATATCCTGATTTTCTCATAATACGAATATTGTCAAATGATATGTCAAACTCACGTTTCTCACTGCGTGTCACGTGGATCGTGCACATACTCTCCACTGCTCTTAGTAGGCTGAATCACTGTGTGTTCGTGGTGTGGGGATAGTCTGTCTTTGATATTGTTGGTATTTTTTCTTCACTAAATCCATACATTTTACCTCATGAGGAGAAATATGTCATCACCACCCCACGCACACGTAGTCACGTGGGATTCATTTGACATATCCTTCATTCCAGTGTGAATTCTTTTAAGTTATAATAAATTGTATGTTTGTTAAAGTTACTTTAAAAAAAGTGTTCATGTTGTTCTATTTGAGAGAAATGTGTAATGTTTCTTTTCTATTGATATACAATTCAGTTTGCCAACCCAGACTTTATGGAATCCATCTCAGATGTTGTTGATGAAGTCATACAGAACTGCCCCATTGATGTGCGGCGTCCGCTGTATAAGGTATAAGCTGCGTGGGTAAGGTACTTTGATTTCATTCCACAATTAAAGGCCCATCATTCTTAGAAGACGGTATTACTGTTTATTACTAGTAGATATTCCTGTTTCACCTTCTGTTTCATAGGGTTTGTTAAAGACAGTATAATTGTAAGAGAAAATGGAAATGACTCAGTTAACTAGAATTTTTATTTTATTTTATTTTATTTTGGAGACGGAGTCTTGCTCTGTCACCCAGGCTGGAATGCAGTGGTGTAATCTCGGCTCACTGCAACCTCTGCCTCCTGGGTTAAAGCAATTCTTCTGCCTCAGCCTCCTGAGTATCTGGGACTACAGGTGCATGCCACCATGCCCAGCTAATTTTTTTTTTTGTATTTCAGTAGAGACAGGGTTTCACCATGTTGCCTAGGGTGGTCTCAATCTCCTGAGCTCAGGCAATCCACCCACCTCGACCTCCCAAAGTGCTGGGATTACAGGCATGAGCCACCATGCCCGGCCGACTGGAAGTATTTAAGTATTGTAAATATATTTTATTATTATCTGACAAGATATGTTTTAAGTTGAACAGTTTTAGCCACACATATTGATTGAAAGTAAGAGCGATACCCTCTCCCATGCTTTCCGTGAACTCCTTTGATTTCGTTTTATGCATATGTGGGTTTAGTGCCGATGTGGTGGTGTCAGATAGAAGTTAGAACCCAAAATGGGACAATCCGATAGAATATGCTCATGTATTTTTTTTTCCCCAAAATTCTTTGATTGCAGGGAATTTTGAAAGCTGGAATGAGGAAAATCTAGTCTATGTGATTATTGAGTAAAAAGAAGTCCTGCTGACAGCCAGAGATGGCGAGCAGGTGGTGATGGGCAGTTCGCCTTCCTGCACCTGTAGTCAGTGTTTGCTTGAGGGAGTCGTGCCATCAGCTCAGTGGCATGACTCACTCGCCTCATTCAGACTCAGGTTGCTGAACTGTACAGAGAAGAGAATCAGACTCAACAGACAGCACTCAGCATTGCGTCACCTGTACCGTGCAATACTTTGTAGCGTTTAAAAAGAATGAGGTAAATCAATATAAATTCAGATGAAAAGATAGCTACAGTATAAAGTGAAAAAGGAACTTGTAAAATTTACATATATTTCATTTGATATAAAATATAGTTTGCATATTTTTTGGACTATGTATGCTAAACTCTTAAAGTAAATAAAATATCTTTGGGGTAGAATGATGGGTTTTACTTTCTCCATTTTGTGTTTTGAAGTTGTTTGAAATTTTGTTAAAATTTTTTTATAATTAAAACTTATTTCTGTTTAGATAACTTTTGTGGGTGTAAACCAATTATAGTTCAGTTTTTACTGCATATTCTTAAACACTTGTCTAATAAAAAGTACAAAGAAAGGGAAACTAAAAGGAGACTGGAGTATGAAAATTAAGAAAGATAGCAGGTCATGTCCTTCCCACTTCAGTCCCGGCTGACATTCGCTGTGTCTTCTCATCTGTGAAAGCAGCAGCAGGCGAGCACTGTTCAATCTTAATCCCATCATAAAGCAGAGGAAACTGCCAGCAGTTACGGATTGTTCCTGATGGGGTGGGAATTTTCTTGTTTGACAGTTTAGTTCCCTGGACTTCTATAGAAGTTTTGGAGTAGAGATGGTCTTGGAGACCAGGTAGATGGAGTCCCTTATTTAGTAGATAATGACACTGAGCCCCAGAGTTGGGAAAAGGTGGCGAAAGGCACCTGGGTTACGTGCTAGGTGAGATCACATGGCTGCCAAGTGGCATGGTTGACTTTTAAGCCCATTTCCCATGTCTTTGAAAACTCGTGCTTATCCCACCATATCACACGAAAATTATGTAAAATGTAGAGGGAAGAGGATTCTTCTTTTCGTTGCCCACACTGGAGTGTAGTGGCATGATCACATCTCGCTCAAGCGATTCTCCTGCTTCAGCCTCCCAAATAGCTACAGGCACACACCACCACAGCCAGCAAGATTATTCTTCAAAGAGGGAAACCCTGTCCCTGACCACTTTGTCACTAGGATAACCATTTATTCTCTGTGGCTTTCAGAAGGGTGTAGCTTGGCCCTGGCTGTCAAGTTTGTGCAGAATAAATCCTGTCTTCCCTCAGCTGTCTTGGTTATTTGTACAGGACCTCTCCAGTGTTACGAGTGTCTTGCAAGTGATAGAGAATTCAGGTAGGGTTGAGAGGGGGAAGGATCGACTGTCCTAGGGCTGGCCATGCTTTCTCCTTTGTCACATAGCTGAGCTCTGTACCGTGCTGTGGGAAAGGAGAGACACAAAGGAGGCCACCTCCTTTGCCACCTTTCTAAGTTAGAGTAGACCAGCATATGTTACGAAAAAAATTAATCCAAAATCTCAGTGTTTAGCAGCAAAGGTTTCTTTCTTTGCACGTGGTTCATATCTGGTGTGGTTGGCAGTAGGCTCTGCCACCATGTTGTGGCTGCCCTTGGGAACACGTTGCTTCGGGTCCCCGCTGCCCGGGAGGAGACAGCTGGCGGGCCATTCCGCCCCTCCTCCCTGGGCCGTCACCTGGGCCAGCCTCCACCGGACACTGGAAGCAGGAGGGTGATAGAATGTTTGGTGGGCACTGCTGCCTCTCCTGTAGCCACCAGGAAAGGGACTTCTTTCCAAGGTATGGGGCTTGATGACTAAGTTGAAGTTGAATATTGAGGCCTAAGAATGCCCGTTTCTGTGCGTTAGCCTGCCAGGTAACAGCTGCTCTAGTGTTTTTTTCCCCATGGTGATATGAGACCGGGAGTTGGCCAACTTTTTCTGTAAAGGGCCAGATGGTGAATCATTTTGGCTCCTCAGGCCGTATGGTCCGTGCTGCATTTAATCAGTTCTGCCAGAGCAGCCGAAGACCGTGTTGAACGACTAGGAGTGGCTGGGTTCCTATAAAGTTTTATTTACAAAAGCAGGAGAGAGCCTGTTGTAGACATGTGAGGAGATACTTATGAAAGCCTCGTTCTAATACTCTCCGGGTTGGCCGGTGATAATCATCTGTGGACCCTCCTCAGGTGGTGCATGTGGAGGCGTGGCCTTGCTAGTTCCTCAGCAAGTCAGTGCTGCCTTTAGGAAAGACTGTGGAAGAGTCACTGCTGGGCTCTGCTCACAGCCCAGGGTAGTCACACATGCTCGGCTAGGGCTTCTGCTGACTCGGTTTCTGGAAGCTGTCAGCCCTCCCAGGTGGACTCTCACTGTGTGGGATGGAGGAGCGTCCCTCCAGAAGCAGTATCTGAGCAGTGAAGCTGCGCTGACGAGGTTCGCTCCTGCTCAGTGCACTCCCTGCTATGCTCCCTTCTCTAACTCCTACTCCTAAGTGCAGTGGAGAGCACGCCCCCAATCTGTGTTTGCAAGTGCACAGATTGGTAGGTTTGTGGGTTTTTAAAAATAATTCTAAAACACTCTTCTGGTTAGAAGACATGCTGCAAGTACTTCTGCAGAGCACGCAGTCGCCTTTCTCTGGACAGCGCACGTTCCTGTGTCTTAGGGGTGTGCCTTTCCTCTTGGTTCACTGTGTGGCGCTTCCAACCTGCTGGGCCACTCTTGCCGGGTAAGATGCCCTGTCTCCAGGAGTGATGTTGCCGATTCCTGACCTCGGCTACCTGTGTGCTTTCCCTGGTTTCACAGCCTCATTTGGCCGGCTCTGCTGGCCACATAGACCAGCAGAGTGGGTGCCCTGAAGATGTGCTTTTGGCTTCCGAAGAGGTGGTCGCTCTCCCTCTGCCACACCTGCGCCTTGAGGTGCTTGTCTGGACCAGTGGCGCTGGCCTGTTTCTATTTCACGGGACGGTTGGTAGGATTGAGCACTACCAAGCAAGTAGGAGGTGTGTATTTTAGGTTCTGCTGAAACCCTCCTGGCTGTTGAGTTATGTTACTCAGACTAACAGACGAGGAGAGGACAAGAACATACAAGGAGAATAAAAGATGGCTTGGAAAATTTAGAATCTTTTTTCCCCTAGCTCTATTGAAATATAATTTTTAATTTTTATGAGTAGTTAGTAGGTATATTATTGAGGTATATTGACAAGTAAAAATTGTATGTGTATATATACACACACATCAAGAGCAGGAAAATTGTGTGTATTTAAGGTGTACAGCGTGATGATTTGATACAGGTATATACTTCGTGGAATGTTTACCACAATCAAGCTAGTGAAGACACCCATCACCTCGCACAGGTACCTTTTTCAGTGTGTGCAGTGAGAATATGTAAGATTCCTCTCTTAGCAGATTTCCACTACGCCGTACCCTCTTCCTAACTACTCACCATGCTGGAGTTAGGCCTTCAGAGCTTGCCCATCTTGTAACTGCAAGTTTGTTCTGTGTGACTAACGTCTCCCCACTCTGCGGTGCCTGGTAACTACCATTCCACTCTCTGCTTCTATAAGTTTGACTAAAAATTCAGAATCTTTAAACAAGCAAAACAGCTTTTTTAGATGAATGTAGCCATCATCTGGCTGATTTTTATTTCAGTCTGACTTGCAGATGAGAAGGGTATTTACACATCTGCTTTATCTGTTCCGCCTCCGGGAATGACAGGGGTCGGGGCCTGCGGGAAAGCCTCCGTGTGAGAGCAGTTGAACATAAGCCTCGGCCCACCGTGGGCTTCATCCAGGAGCTGTGAAATGGACCGGAGTCTGGGTCCCACCCTAGGAGATTCTGATGTGATTGGGCTTGGGCTGGGTGGAGCCTGGGCACCTGGATCTTAAAAGCTTCCCAGGTGACTCTAACGTGCAGCTAACTTGAGACTCGCCATCAGCGCCTGCCCACTCTTGGATCAGCCAGTGTTTAGTAACTTGCAGGCTTTACTTGAGGGGGAGGCCAATGTGAATCGCTTTGTAATGTAATGGATGTCTTTCTACTTCTCAGTTCTATTCAGGAGGTACTTGAGTACCTACTAGGTACAAGACAGTGTTGTTAAATTAGAGGATTTAAGTATGTACAAGATATGGTTCTTGCCTTCAAGAGCTTATAAAAAAGCTAAAA